AATAGAATCTAATTACCAATTATAATTTACTTTTCTTTTCTATCGAATTTTATGAATTTCTTTTTTGTGATTGCATTCATTATAATTTGTTTTATAACTTTCTTGTTAAACCCTTCAACAAAAGATTATTAAAATTTAAAATACCAAAATTTTCTATTAAATAGAAATTATTATAATTCACATAAAATTTTATTTAAAAAATAAAAATATTTTGTACGATTACAATTCAGTTCTTAATGTTTTGAGAAACACTTTTTAATTTTTATGATTGTATATTAAAAAGGATTTGTTCAAATAAATTATTCATAACTTTGGTTCATCTATTGATAAAAAATAAAAATTTAATAAAATAAACTTTAATCTTCATTTCCACTATTAAATAATGTCTTATATGTTTTTCTTACAAATCAGGAAATTTGGTTTGATGCGATGTAGTTAAAATTAGTAGTATTAATAGAGGTTATTAATTAAATGCTTTTTTTTCTTTTTTACTTTAATAAATTTCATAAAAATACTAAAAACAACTTAGTTTAATTAGACTATCTATCTTTTACATTAAAATAATTGTAAAATTTTAGAGTTAAAATATTCAAAATAATATTTATTGAAATAAATTACCATGATTTTTTACAATAGGTAGTAGTTAGAAAAAGTTTTAAAATCAACAATATGAGGTCTTTACTTTGAAAGTACTATTAAATCAAGAAAAAAAATGATTTATTTTTACATTTCTATCCTCCAAAAGTATTTCAATATAAGATATAGTTGAAAAATCATGTTTTTCTTAATTTTAATATAGTTATACTTAAAAAATATTAATATAAAATTATAAAAATATAGTAGAAAAGATTGTCTTTGAATTCAAAATTTAATAGGTTAAAAATAAGTTTCATAAGAAATGTTTGAGTTTTCGCTCTATTTCTAGTATTAAAGTTTTAATTTAAAATAATTAGAATATAAGTACAAAAAAATGTTAATGAATTTAAAAGAAATATTTATTGAAATTTTATTTTTTATATATTTTATAAAGATCTACTCTAAGTTTCTTAATGATGATTGCTATTCTTGCAATATACTTTAAATTCCAAAGAAAATTTATTATTGATGCATTCTTTGAAAGTAATTTTTTTTATTTTGCAATATGTAGTAGGAAATTCTGAATAGTAGTTAAATCTTTCCTAAAAGTCAATATGACAATTGTAATAATAATTTTTGGACATAACATCCATATTTCTTTTTCAAATAAATCTTGATATTTTTTTAATATTAAAGAATTTTATTAAAATATTAATTAAATGAAAGCTAGGTGATAAATAAATAAGTAAAGAAAAATATTTATTTTTTATTTTATCTTAAAAAATATTAGATGTTTTGTTTTTTTGTACTTAAAAAAAAATCATTGTGAAATTTTTTTAAGTAAATTAAGAAAAAATTAATACAGTGAGAAATTAAATTTAATTAAAAATTGAAACCATAATATGAAATTTTATTAAAACAACATTATATAAGAATTTATCAACACAATTCTTGTTGTACTTAGACATGTTATCTCTTTTTAAAATTTATTCACTAGTTTTTAAATTAAATTATTTTCTTAGAAGTTATTAAAAAAAAAGGGATATTTTATAATATAAATATATTTTTCTTTTTCTAATGCCAATTTTTCATTAGTGCTGTAGAAAATTGGAATTATATAACACAATTGTGTATTCTTTTTTCTTTTTTCTTTGATAGTATGTTTTAAAGGTTTAAGCCATTATTATAGTATAATAAATAATAATAATAAAATGAAATTTTTTATTAGAAGTTTTTTTTAATTAAAAATAAATTTGATTTTTTTTTAAAAAAATATTTAATCTAGTTATTTATGAATAAGGTGTATTTAATAAAAAAAATCTATGTATTAGATTGTAATCTTTAAAAAAAATTAGTAGATGAGCAAAAGATCATTCTATTTGACATTGATTAATAATATTTATGATTTTAAACCATATATTATTTCAAAAAATATTTTTTGCAAAATTTAAGTAGTTACGACAATTGCAAAAAAAATATTGTATTTTTGATATGTATATCAAAATTCAGCTAGAAATGCATGTAAGTATTTTAAAATTAGATATTTTTTTTAAGTAAATCAAGATAAGAAGTGTCTATTATATGTCATTCTAATAAACATAAATTCCCATGTCAGAGGTTAATATATTTGTAATTTGAGCTTCATAGCAAGTTGGGCTTTGGTGATGAATCCTTAAAACTTAAACCTTTTATCATAAAATATTATATACAAAAAAATCCTTAGTTATTTAATAAATCTCACATAATTTCTATGATAATTTGAAATAAAAAGTATTACTTCATATAATACATATGTAGATACAATTTCCTCTATGATTTTAATTTTATAATTAATGACCTAGAATATTAATTTTTGTAGAAAAAAATAATTAGTGTATTAAAAATATTATTTCTATAATATTATTACATATTTAAATAATGATTTTCATAATTTTTTCTAACTATTATATAAATAGAATAACTTCAACATATCAAAAAATAAGTAATAAGAAAAAAAAAATTATATATATATATATATATATTATTTATTTAATATTTATAAGGAAAAATAAATAAAATAATAAAATAAGATGATTGAATTTTAATATTTTAACTATCAATATTATCGAATTGTTAAAATTATAAATCTAAAAAATATTAAAAACACAACAAATTTATTTACAACTAAAAAAGAACAAAAAGAAACATAAATAAATATACATATATGTTTATAAATAAAAGAATGCAAGAGAATAGATATTATTATGTATAAAATAAATTAGGAAATTTTGGATTAAGGCTAGAGTATAAAAAGAATTTATAAAAATTAAAGATGGCCCTAGTTTTAACTTTGTATGTACTAAATAACAAAAAAACCAAGTAATAATTTTCTAAAGATTGTAAATTATTACAAGCTGAATTTTTAAATTTTTATAATATTTCTTTATTAGCTTAATAGATGTAAAAAATCTTTAAAAAAAAATTGAAATTGCATAAAATATCTAAATATACTTATTGATTTGATCTTCATTTTATATATAATTTTTAAAAAGATCGTATATACTTTACTTAAATCTACTCATTTTTGCTTATTATAATTTATTAAAGTAATATAAGTATCTATACTTCAATATAGATATAGTATTGATAAACCTAGGATTTTTAATAAGATGTAAGATGCAATTTTATTTTTCAAATTACCTAATTAGGCGGCTTCATTTAAGCACTTGTAAACCAATAAATTTTAATCTTTATAATGTCAATAATAAAAATAGAATTTATTATTTTTTCACTAGAACTAATAATAAATTCCATATTACCTTTAAGACATAATTTTTTTAAAGTATCAATAAGTACATTAAAGGATTTTAGATTCCTATAAGTTATATGAAAAAATACACCAAATTTATCAAGATATTGATCTTATTTATTTAATATATTTAATAGACTTATTTTTTATTTATTACTCAATTATTATATTTAAAAGAATCTTTTCATGGACATACATATTTTTTCTAATATTTTCTTATATGCTTAAGTAGAAGTAGATAAAAATACATTTGTTTCAAAATATTTTCTAGAAAAGTTTCTTAGAAGATTCATAGATGGTGCATTGACTGTACATGTATTTGTAATTGATTGGTAGATTAGAAACTTGGTCAACAAGTTAACTACGTATTAATATCTTGCGGAATAAGCTAACTATGTGGCGCACATATAGAAAACTTGCTTTACAAGTTAAGATATGTGTCTTACAAGATTAACATGTTTTGGAAGTCTTGTAAGACATTGCCACTTAGCTCTTAGTTAAGAGTATATATAGAGGCAAGAGTGAAGCCTTCTTCACTCTTGTCAACACCTTTCTAGTCCACATTCTTGATTCAAGACTTTCTAGTCTTCTTGTCTTTAGCAATAGCTATTTTAGTTTAATACTATATCATCTTTGAGTGATTTTTTAGTCTTTTTGAGTGACACAAGAGTGTATTGACATTTTAGTTCTTTGAGGTTTATGTCCTTGATACCTTTTAATTTAAAAAATATAGATAGATATGTAATCTTCTTTTAATTTCTTGTAATAGTATCTCAAAATTCGTAATAAATTATCTATAAAAAAATCTTTTTAAAGTATCCATAAGTTCATTAAAGGATTTTTAAAAAATACTATATTAAATCAATATTTTTTCTTGTATTATTCTTAAATTCTTTTTAAAAAAAATTCCAATTAAAATTATATTAATTTTTTTTATTTTTTATCATTTAAAAAATAACTATTAATATAATTTATTTAATTTTAAATACATTATATTTCTAATAATATTTTTTTATATAATATCTTTTATTTGTGAGTTTTAATACATATGATTATATATACAAATTATCTCTATTTGAGTTTAGGATGTTACAAATTCAATCATAAAAACATATTTTTTTATAATCTTCATAATCCAAAAAAAACAAAACAAAACAAAAAAAATCTTTGCATTCCTAGTTAAAACTTTCAAAAACAAAAAGTAACATATTTTCTTTATAAAAATATATAAGACAGTTATAAAACTAATTTTTATATGAGATAATAATAAAACTTAATACTGAACATATTATTGGCATTAATATATGAAATCAAGAAAATAAACTTGAAAATTTATAAATTAGTTATAAAATAGATGTCTAAGATGACTATATATTTTGAAACAATTATATATATATCAAAATAAATAAATAAATAAAAATCATCCATCAAAAAGTGTTCACCAAATCAAAAAATTCTCTTATTTAACTAAAAAATTTGTAATAAAATCAATCTTACTTAACAAATATTATGTCTTATGAATCCATTTTTGATATCTTAAACCTCATCTTAACCATGCCTAGGTTTCTAAATCACAAGCACTTCACAAAAATGTTTGAACATGGATGAATGACTGAAAAATAAAAATAAAATAAAATAAAATAAACAAAGTATTGTCCTTAGACAATAATTCCAAATTACCTTTCTACTTTTATCTCCACCAAAACAACATTCACAATGATTGGTAATTGACATATTCCACTTGCTATATTACAAGCCCTAAAAAGATTGTAAACCTTGCACAATTCCAACCTACCATTGTTACCTCTTTTTATATTCTCCAATAAAATCAAGTCTATCTTCTTGCTATTCTCCGACTAAGATACATCCTTTTAATGCTAGATGCACTTGCATTCATCTCTATGTGGTCTCTCAATTCTGCAATATATTTCTACCTATCCCTGATCTTGTGGAACCCCTTGTTTTGTGGCGATCCTGGAAGCCTCTTTCATGGGCACAAGAATGTGGGTCCAGTTTAAGGTGAGCAGAGTTTCTGACTAAGAACGCAGGAATGGAATACTTGTCAATCATTCTGGAGCTGTATGTACCTCACTTTTGTTCTGAAATGGGGACAATGAAGAGCAATCACAGTGTGCGTGAGGGGCTTGCCTTCCAGGAGAGTCGGAGAAGGACACCCCTTTCCATGTCACGAGGCAACAGTTCTGGCTTACACTTTGTTGGTACATCCTTCTGCTCCTGCGAGCAATTAAGACAACTGCATAAGACAGACACCAAATTCGTTTTGTCAGGGATGGGGACGTCACAATGTGCCTGATCGCCAACCAGATCCAGCCTGACAGTCGGTTCTGGTGAGCTCAAAGCTTAGAAAATCCCACAGATAAATTTAGGGTTTTGAACCAGATACTCTCTCTCCACTGATGCAATAAGCTGAACTGTCGGAACGTCACCCTGTCGAAAGATTGCGTTCGTGATTGAAGCTGCTCTTAAGCTTGAACACATAATGGAAAGGTTTGTTCATGTGCTGAAGTTTTCCACCAGATTCTGCAAAGAATTTGGCCAACGGGTACGGGTTGGTATGTTCACGTAGAGAAAGGCTTCTGTTCTGATGTTAAGGTCCACTTCAATGGTTTGAATCAGACGTTCCAGAGTATGCAACTTAAGTCACAGCAGCTCTGTAGTAACGACTTCGCTCTTCAAAGTTTGCGTTCCCGTGTTTCTCTTCACCCTTTCAATAAATGTTTGAGGTTGAACCTGCAATACACTTAAAACAGAAATATGTGAAGCAACAGCTTGAAGGAGGAGCACCTCTTGAGATAGCTGTTATTTATTACCCAACCTGAATGGTCAAAGGATTAGGAGCTGATGAGTGATATGTACCTTCCCAATTTAAAATGCTGGCTAACGCAGCTACCTTACATGTATTTCGATCATGCTAACTTGATAAGATTTTCATGATTTGTCACAATCATCATGCTCTTATAACTTCTTTGGATTCCTGCACACTTGAAGGTAACGTCGCTTGGACATTTAGGTCAAGTTAATTTGTTTTAATTGTAACGTTTTGGAAGCTATTTCAAGCCCTAAACCAAGAAATCATGTGGAAAAACGAAAACGCGAACCATACGTCCTCTGGTTTTGATTTGCATTTTCCACGTTGAAGCGAAGAAGTTGGGCGAGGAATTAAATTCTAAGCGCAGAATAGTTTGAGGAGACTGAAAGATGCTGCAATTAAGCCCCATGAGCAACAGATATAGAAAACCTACCGACTTCAATTATCTCAATTTCCACATGCACGACGTGTATTGATGCAATAGAAACAAAATTATCACTGGCGTTGTTAACTACAAGTTAAGTGGAAACCTACAACATTGACCATCGTAACGTTCCCAATGTTTTTTCCAGTAAATAGAACAGAGCAGACAGGCATGGTATTCCCAATAATAACCTAAGAAGTCTATTGAACGGGTCGTCGACATGGCTTGAAACGCTCGACAGTGAAACATGCACACGTTACTATCTGTTACTCTGCAAGAAAATTGTGCTTGAATCAATCTCCGCCATTTTCTAATCATTGTTGCTGAATCCTTATCCGGTTTAGCAAGTCAGGTGATTTATTACGCTATGCAAGTACGAAAGAATCATGCATCCTAGAGGATTCTTTCAAACCATAAATACGGAAGGACTTCAAATCTTTTAAAGCTTCAACTGATTAACTGCATGTGAAATTTCATGCAGATTACCTCTCTGAAAGTTCCAAGCAACAGATGCGGCGGCATCGTCAATCAAAGCTCGTCTAACAAGAGTGAAAATGTTAAGATTCATGGGAGCAGCTTGGGCTTTGCGCCCTGAGGATCCGAGAAGTTTCACCATCAAGGAGAATTTCATAGACAAGGACTAAAATATCATGAAAGATTCATGAAGAAGTCCTCGAAGGAACCCACGACTCAGCAAATCCAGCATGAAGGCTGGGCATATACTTCCTATCATGGGAACATGCGAGCTGGGAAACTTTGTACAAACCGTGTGGTGTGAAATCCGACGAGGCGGTGCATGTCCCTGAAGTGGCGCGTGCATGACACTCGTCAACTTCCCAGTCATTTTCCTGCTTGCCTTCGTCTCCAAGCTTGCCTTGTTTGGCCTGAGGCCTAGGCTCATGACTGCCGTCATCACATACGCGGCTTTGACTGTCGTCTTCATCATCCGCACTGATTTGGTCAAGCAGACTATTCGAAATTCTACCATCAACAGCAACAACAACACTTGACAATGAGAAGAACCAGGCGCAGTCTCTAAACCAAGAAATGCATTCATTCAAGAGAATCATGGTCACAAACCCTAGGACACCCAGTGTGCAAAATGGCACATGACCACCAAAGTACTACAGTTCCCACAAACATGTCACAGTCTTCACACAACTAAACGAATAGTTTATTGGGCAGCGAAGGTTTAAGTTACAAGCTTCACAAAATTACAAGTAAAACAGAAGCAGCACGTGTGAGGCGCTATCTCTTGATAAATCCGAACAATTTATCGAGAAATCTGTGTTCGGTGTGTCAAGTTTACTGCCAATCTGCCTCCAAAAACAAAGTTGTGAACATCTCTCCGCACCACTGGACTTTCGCTACGCCACATCCATGAAAACAGGCCTTGCACAGATGTGAAATCATGCAACAAATATGGTCGAAATCAAATGTATACCAGAGATTCTCCTTGTGAAAACAAGCATGAAACCATTCCCATCTCCTCAGTCTTCCTCGTTATTTTTATGGAAACTCACACACAAGAGTCTAAGCTAACAAGCTGACCATTTTTGTGTGGACCCATGTGATTTATCACGTTTTTTTTCGCAACCAGCAACTGAATTTTTCAGGTTCGAAATTGAAGGTCAACAATTGCATCTAAACTTGTTCTGAATGATTCTGCTTCTTCAAGGCCTTTGTGAGCCAAAGCTTGTTTGTTTGAACAAATTGAATCCTCAATGTGTTGTATGAAACAACAGTGGTTGGGAAACTTCAGGGGCCTTGTAGGGAATGGAAAAAAGTGAGAAGAAACTTCAGCTTTCCTGGCCTCACATGCTTGAGCTTTTGGAAGTATATGCTTAATCTAATAGGACACTGGGCTCAATCCCAACTGCCAGGGTTTGGGGATCTTTCACTGATAATTTGCAAGACAATAATTCATATGAAAATCATAAATTAGAAAAACTAAAACTAAAACAAACAAACATACATACATACATACATACATACATACATACATACAAACAAACAAACAAACAAACAAACAGTATTCCATGATGGTCTATCATTTTGCACTCCAATATTCTTGTTTGCGTTTGTTTTTTGTTTGTATGTTTGTATGTTTGTTTTGTTTATTTATTTTTATAATTTTATGTTTGTTTTGTTTTTTTCCTTTCTATAATTTTTTAAAAAGTTTTGGGTCATTGATTGTGGACAATTACAGTGTAATTTTGAATTTTAATTATTTGAGAGTGGGGTTGGAATTGCTTTTGTCAAAGTGTTATTTTTAATTTAATTTAATTTAATTCTTTTTGTTCATTTCTAGCATGAGTTGATAAATTTTATTTTGAGAGAAATTTTCATTTTATTATGTTTTGAGCAAAAACATTTATGCATCGTTCTAATAACAGATTAATAAAAATATAATAAAAAAATTAAAAAACATGTGAGTAGTTGACCTACTTGAATATTTTTCAAATAAATTTTTACATCACATAATATTTCTTGTAAAAATATTTTATATTTTATATGTAAGAATAACTTATATCAAATTTTTTTCTCATTTTTTTCCAATTGTAATAGATAAGAATTCAAATCATAACAAAAATAATAATTTTAAACTGCCAAATATAAAATTTTAAAACTATAAAAAATATTATATTTAATTTTTATATTTATTTATTTATTTTAGAATTTGGACATATTTGTAAATCAAGAAAATTAATTAATAGAAAAAAAGAGATTAATCTAAAACCAAACAAAGTTTAAAGAAGATTACGGACTCAAATTAATATTGAATCTATAAAAAGTATATATATTTAAGTTTCAATTAATTTAGAAGACTTTTAATATTTAAGAATTTATACTTAATAAAAAATACTACTAGTAGAATATATATATCTATATATATATTAATGAGTTTATATAATGATATATTTTAAATAAAAATTAATGAGTTTATATATATATATATATATATATATATATCAATAATTGTTAAGATTTTAAGACTGTTCTAGGATTAATTAAGGTTGGTTAGGTTTTGATTAGGATTTCATGAAGATTTGTTAGGATTTTTTTAGGTTTTTATTAGAGTATGTTAGGACTTGTTAGAATTTATTTAAGATTTTTTTAGGATTGTTAGAATTAATTTAGGATTAGCTTAGGATTTTATTAAGGTATTCTAAAGATTTACTTAAAGATTCTATAGGATTTTATAAAATAAGATTTTCATAAGGTTTTTAAAAATATTTATTTGTGATTACTTTATAAATTTATTAGGATTATTTTAAGATTTTTTCTAATGTTCGTTAAGATTTTTTTATGTTTTTTATGAATTATCTAATCATTCTTTTGTGACTTTGTAAAAATCCTTTAGAATTTGATTGAGATTTGGCTATAATTGTTAAGTTTCTATTAAGATTTGTTTAGAATTATGTTAAGATTCTATTAAGGTCTGTTTAGAATTTTATTAAGATTGTTAAGTTCTTAATTTATTTCAAATGTAATTTACCTATATAGCCAAATGCTTAATACATTTCTAGATTAGTTTTCACATAATACAATAATGCAAAGGCACAAAACCTTGTATCTCTAACAAATATGGAGGATTTTTTATCAATCAAAGAGCAAGATTCAAGAAAAAAACTTAATAGAGTTTCTTTAAGCATTAGTTTTGAGGGATTTGAGTAAATAATGACTATATGAGATTTTTGCAAAGTTAAGGTTGTTTTGCGTGACAATATTTTTTGTGGAATAAAAAGGAGATTACATTTTGGATAATTTAGTAAACTTTTTGGGTCAGCAAATCTAAAATTGAAACTTTATAGGTTTGTAAACATAATTATGTCAGATGTATGATTTAAAATTAAAATTAATAAAATTATTTGATCAAAGATTATTAAAATCTAAATTTCTTAGGATCTAAAAAAATGGATTTTAAATGTTAGTAAATATTTCTATAATTATGAATTATCTATTGATTGGATCAAAATGATTTTTTATTAGCTAATATTTGACTTAATTTCTAATGTTTATTCAAAGTTGTAGTACAAGAGAATGGTGCTAAAAAAAAGAGCTATTGATGCCTAAAATTAATATCAAGATTAAAAAACGAAGACAACTTATACTTATATGGATTAAAAATATTTTCTTCCAACTATTAATTTACTTCTCTTCAAATTTTTATGCTTTTTAATAATTAGTCTATTAAAAATTATAATTTTTTTGAATCAAATTAATCATGAAATTAATGATTAATAAATATTTAGATTTTTATAGAGCTTAATTAAGATTTATTAGGATTTATTACAATTTTTTTAAGCTATAATTAAAATTTGATTAAATATTTTTAGAATTTACTTTCGATTTTATTAAGATTTGATTAGAATTTGATTAGGATTTTTTAAATTTTAATTTTAAAATATTAAAGATTCAATTGGAATTTTTATAATTTTTATAGAATTTTCTAGGATTTTATTATGATTTCATTAGGATTTTTAATGATATTTTATTTTTTCCTTCAAAATTCCTTTCAATTTTTTTAGGTTTAATTAGAAATTTTTTAGGACTTCTTTTGGTTGATTATAATTTCTTTAATATTTTATTTGGATTATTAAAGATTATTTAAGGTTTATTTAGAATTAATTAAAATATAATAATATTTTTTAAATTTTTTCTAAGGTTGATAAGGTGTGCTTTGCATAATCAAAAGTTCATTGAGGTCATTGAAATTGGCAAAGAATGCTCCTAAACATCCTATGTATTATTTTTGGATTGTAAATGTAACTTCAAGTTAAGATCAAACTTTTCTACAGCTAGATGCCTGATGCACTCTAAGGCTTGATTTCTACACAATGCTATAACAAAAATACCACTCAAGTAAAACAATACTTCAAAAGTTTAAAGAATTGAAACAAAGGATGTCTCAAGGACAAAGACTCGATGAGGGAAAATATACACCAAAAGGCTATCTCGATATAATAAGTCAAAATATAAACAAGTAGGTATATTAAAAGGAAACTGGAATGGCTATTGCTACAAGACAAGAAACTAAAGACTCTTGAACCTGGACTAAAAGCAAGAAAGGAGTTGACAAGAGTGAAGAAGCCTTCACTCTTGTCTCTATATATACTATCTAACTAGGGGCTACGTGGCGACGTTCTATAGGACCTCCAATATGTGTTGACTTTGTAGGACACATGCCTTGACTTACAAGGCAAGTTTTTCTACGTGTGGGCCACATAATTAGCTTGATCTTCAAGCTAACAACATGTGTGGCACATGGCCAACTTGTTGACCACGTTTCTAATCCAAAAAGTCAATTAAAGACACCTATGAAGTCAAAGCAGCGTCTAGGAAGTTTCTAGGAAGCTTCTATATTAAATATTATAGAATTAACTTACTTTTATCTACTTTTACTTACTTCTACCTATTTCTATATGTAATTATTAGCTTACATGATTATGGCCGTGACATTACCCCCCCTTCTAGAGACGAGTTCCACGAGGAGCGGTCATCATATGTTGAGGAAATCTATGATGCGACGAATTGTATTCGCCACATACTCTGATCTCTGTTCTCTTCGAAGATGATTGATAGGGCCTCTCAACCATCGGTAGTGTCCCATACCAGGGCGGGAAGACCATCCAGTTATTTGATCATTGTTGAGGCCTTCGTAACTTCCTTCGAATAGAATATTCGGAACACCATCAGGAGTTGTTCCTACCTCTAGCAAAATCATCAAACATCGAGAGTCCCTTCCTAAATTGTGATATCAAACGCGTTGTATCTCACCATCTGTTCAAGGAAGAACATGTCGTTCTTGAAGATCTTCATCTCGATTGCGTCGTCTTGAAGGTTGTGAAAATCGTAATGTCTCGTCCGGCAGGTCAGCAAACGAAGGTTCTTGAGTTGAATCCACCGGTTGTTGGCTCTCCATCTAATTAGCGTCACAAATGCAAAGAAGTTACAAACAAGGATAGGAAATTGAATGTTATCTTGCCTCAATCTTTTCTCTTTTATAAGAGAGATTTTCATCTTGGTTTTGATGGATGTCGTTGATGAAAAACTTTGACTTTAGCTGATGCATTTCCTAAATTCCTGGATGGCTCCCATGTGCATTCACTAATATCATATCCGCGCCAATGAACAAGATATTCCAGCTTATTTCGGCGCCGCCTTGAGTCTAATATCTCTTCCACCTCAAATTCTTCATTATTATCTACTTCTATAGGAGGCGGTGGCATTTGTCTTCTTCCTTGTATATCCACTGTCTTATATGGTTCAAGAAGAGACACGTGGAATACAGGATGGATCTTCATTGACTCCGGTAGATGTAACCGATATGCAACTGGATTGATCTGTTCAGAAACAGAAAAGGGGCCAAGCCTACGATAGTCCAACTTGTCACAAGGTCGAGTAGTCTTGATATTGCGACGAAGTAGCCATACCTTATCACCCACGTTGATTTGTGGTTGCTCCTTACGATATAGATCTGCGTTTATCTTTTGTCGTTCTTGAGCTTCCTTCAATTGCGTCTTCATTATTGCATGTAACTCTGACAACCGATTTGCCATATCTTCTGCTGCAGGATTATCAACTTTTGAAAAATCAAAAGCATCAAGTCGTGGATGATAGCCATAATTGGCAAAGAAAGGTGTTTGTTGCGTGGAAGAATGTACTGTATTATTATAAGCAAACTCTGCCAATGGCAGAAGGGTTGTCCAATCATCTTGTTGGTAGTTGATAGTACACCTTAAATATTGCTCCAAGACTT